TTCTCCGTCTCTCGAGCCTCATTTCTTCGGCTGCGACGGCTATCGTTGCGGTGGAGCCTTCCCTCATCTCTGACCGGACTGTTGGCCGCACTTCCCAAGGAAACGCTGAGACCATTCTGGGTGAGGAATTCCTTTATCCTCCCTTCGCCCCATCCAATAAACCCGGGTGCATCCTTCGCGCGCAGCCACACCATTTCAATGCCATCGCACCTGGTGTCCAACCAGCGCCGTCGGTAGGCAACGAGATTATTGAACTCTTTGAATAGTTTCCGCATCTGAGAGATTGTTCTGAGTTAGGTCCTGATATAGCAAGGAAGCTGTATCAATAACCTACGGCGGGGAGGACGGCCAAAACGAGGATAAAAACAGCTAGGATGATCAGCCGTATGCGTGCGTTCCCCGCCCTATCAGTACCATCCACAATAGCTCGAGTGTGGTATTTTGAGGCGCCAACGAAAGTGGTGTTGATAGTGCGGTTGTCGAGCATCTGGAGCAAACGAAGTAGACTGAGGTCTTGCAGCGTAGTGTAGCCACCCTCGTGCTGAGGCTGAGCTGCTGATTGGCCAATACATGGGGTAGAAACGAGGTAGAGAGGAAGCGCGGCGACGAGCCCGAGGATGGTCCAGCCGAGCACAAGTAAAAAGGCCACCCATAGGACCCGCTGAGTGAGTTCTTCGTCTGATGGGAATAATTTGGCGTCTGTCTCTAACGATTCGTGCGCATCAGAAACATCAGACGGGCAATCAGGAACCATTGGGACAGGTGGAAAGAGGAAAGCCCAGTATGTGCCCCGCAACGGGGCTGGGCGAAGTCTAGTATATAAATATCAGACCTGTGTTTAAGGATAGAACGGGGATAACCCACTCTGGTCGTACAAACCACGAACGTACGCCATAAATCTGTGGAAAGCGCGGGCGTAGGTACGCGAAGAGGAGCTACGATAATAATAAATGAGAATTGCCCCAGGGACCAAAATACCACAGCAAATTATCACATACCCAGACAATGAGCCCGACAGCCAGGGAGAAAATGGCTGTCGCAACAATGCCACTGGCGGCATAATCAACGGTACTCCCAGCGCATCCCGTCGAAAAATCGAGTGTCGAAGATGATTGTTGGGGAATGGGAGCACTGGATGATAGTGTAGGAAAAGACGACAGCGAGCCCCCGCTGCCGCTGACTCCAATAGCACTGGGGCTGGCAGAGACCACTGTCGTGGATGAGAGCGTAATCGTAACAGGTACTGACGTTATCGTAGGAGTCGTTGCAGGAAATGTTGTGGGTTGACCAGCTGAACCAGGCATAGATGATCCTCCAGCAGACACACCAATGCCCGTGCCACTCGCGGGCACGCCAGTCGAGGGCGGCGCAGACGGCGGAGGCGGGCTGTCAGCGCTGGACATCGTCGTGGGGGCGGATGGTGTTGTCACAGGTGGGGGATCTGTGGTCCACCAGTTGCTTATAGGCACCGCGTTCAAAGAGGAAGGTGAGCTAGCCATCGCCGCTAAGCCAGTGCGCAATGTTGGAGTCGTCGAAAAAGTCGTATCAAAAAGCGTGGCGAGAGTCGTTTATTTTTGAGCGAACGAAGAAGGGGAGCGTCAAGCCCGGAGTAAAGAGATCGTAAGTGCGAGGAGCGCACAAAAGCGCACCGTACAGGTTGCGGTGGAGCACTGTAATATCTCGCCCAGGGAAAGCCAGGGAGAGCCTCACACGAACATACCAAACAACAAACGCGTGTTCGGCCGCACGCGAACATTCAAACGGCGGATATGTAATTTGGCCATTTCCAGCTAGGCAGGACTTTCAGACCTCGAAAAAGTGTGGGTAGCAAGACAAAAGATTTGCGCTTTGTGCTGCCCGAGGTCGCAGCTTTCGAGAAATGCAAACCGCGTCGTCGCGGTGTGAACAGCGCTTGCGAATGAAGATGCTTCCGACTCTTATGTCCGGTTAAGGCCACCATCACGCGCAAGTAGAAGATCAAGAGTTTGTATTCAAAAAAGCGAAACTACACGAAATCGAACGGCCAAGATAGCGGGTTGGATCTGCCCCCGCAAATACTTTCGCCAAACCTCTAGAAATGCTCCTGAAAATCGCCACAGCCGAGTCAGTTAGGGTTTGACATGGGCGACAATCATTAGTTGACGAAGGACCAAACAAACCTTGGCAAAAGTGAAGTCGATCGACGAGGTGGATGCCGCCAGGGCGTGCTCTCGAACAACTTTTGCGAGGGCGCTCGGCTAGTAGAGGAAAAACGTCAGTTCAAGACTCGAAATCAGATCTCGGTTGCACTCACGCCGCAGAAATATGTCTGAAAGTAGAAGAAAAACGAGGCTGCGGTGTTAATGACGGAAAACGAGTGATAAAGGCTGAATGTCTACGTACGCCGACTTTAGTCCTCAAGGAAGCTTCCCGACCAGGGAGGTATCGGCCAGTCTCAATAGCGGACCGAATACCGGTATAGATGGACTTCCAGTTGGGTCGACCGTACATAGTGCGGGTGCGCAAGAGCGTCAGGGGGTCATACGGCGCACCAGTATCGTTCACCGCGATATTCCACATCATGTCTTCGCTGATTTTTTGGGTTAAGTAGATGTTGATGCGAAGGAAGTCGGCTATATATCGATACCGAAAATCAGCGCATAAAAACTTGAGGGGATGGCACGATAGGACGCACGATTGGTTTGCGCGGCTTCAACCTCCTGCAAAAGACTCTGGAACCACCCGAACGAAGGCGCGTCCCTGCAAATCCAGAAGAACTCGACCCTCCTGAGCGAACCCAAGTTACCCTTCCTTTGCATGTACCAGATATGCTTCAAGATAGACGCAAAGGGGGTGATACCGATACCAGCACCAACGAGCACGGCAACCTCAGACTTGAAGACATCTTCAGCCGGGGCGCCGTAGGGGCCGTCAATGCGAACTAAGGGCATGGGGCGGGTCGTAGCATTCGCGTCGATCTCAACAAAGTTACCGCGGTCGAATGCAGGAGCAGCGTCGTCAACCTTCTCCTCGGCTTTCATGGCTGCCTTGGTGAGCGAGGCAACAACAGAAGGGCCAGCGCCAAGACGTTCACCAAGGGCCTGGGTGAAATCTCCAACTTGACGGATATGCACGGAGACATAGGGATCTTCGGGGGCAGATGTAATTGTAAACTAGAAAGTAACAAAATTGAGATTGGCAAAACCCAAAAAATGGAAGAGTGAATATACCGGATGCCATTGGAAGCGGGACACATCGGGAACCTGGATAAAGAGCCACTGTCCGGACTTGTACTTGAAGCTGGGCTTGACGATACGCAATTCCATGGCACCTATTTACAAAGTAAGAAGACCGCATATCACATGATGTTGAGATGGCCTACCGCTGGGATGGACGAGCACCTTCGACAATTCCGTGGTACGCCTAGCCCGGATTTCCCTCCAAATACGTTCACCGAAGTACAAGATACCAGGCCAGATAATGAATCGCCAACTCTCATAGCCAAGGCAGTGCTGCGTGGAATAGAACGGGAAAGTACTAATGTAATCGGGGTTGGTAGAGTCACGGACGAAACAACCGGTAGCTTTACGGAGCCAAATACATTAGTAAGATTATACTGCGAGTGGATTGGGTTGCACGCACCATGCGTATACAACGCGATCATAAAGAAGAATGCAAGATGATGCGTGTACCAGAAGGCCTCAAAGCATTGCTGCCTAATTTTGTGATGGGCCGTCGTGTACCTTATTGTGGCGATCCAAATTAGTGCTGGTATGTATTTCCACCATGGAGTCAGGCTCACATCAAGACCATGAGCAAAAGCATGGTGTGACCGGTAATTCCGCCTGCCTCCTGATAGTGGATATGCAGCGCTATCTCCTTGCGTACCTCTGGAGGCAGGAAAAGGCTTAGTTCCTTGCCACTGTGTGATATCGTCGAACAAGGGCTTACGGGTCCTTTCAACATTGATGAAGTTGACGTAGTGGGCGGTTGTGTGGACCTAGAACAAAGGGATAGCCGAGTGAGCGGGCTGGGTAACCCGGGAGCGAAAAAAGCACGCTCGCTCACCATAGCCCAGAATGCCATGGAGTACGCCACTTGACGATGGCTGCCATGGAAAAACAGTTTTAGCAAACGATGGATACGTATATTGAACACTAGAGGCAACGTACAACCAAATATTTTCGTCGGCAGGCAGGAGCCAGGAAAGTTTAGGGCGGACGATACGGACGATGTTGCGAAGCATGGGGACCAAAATGAGGCCGCCATCGTACGCCAGAACCAAACCCGCGCCGCGAGAGGTCCACACCGAGAACTTGAGCCCGTTCAACGCGCTTAGTTTTGTGTTCGTTTCCTGGCGTTGGGCAAGAAAGGTGAGGCCAAGCAAAGGCAGAGGAGAAAAGTCGGCGCCACAAACCTGACTGTACCATCCATAGGCAAAAAGTGCGAGATGCGACCCGTAAAAAAGAACGTTGAACGCGAGCCTCCTCGGGGTGAGGATCTCCCTTTTGAACCACGATTCGCTCATGATAGACGGAGAAGAGTTTTAACGAAAGAGACGGATGGGGAGAGAGCGCGCAGGACCGGCAAGCGCGAGGGACGGAGACGGAGAAAAGGGAGGGATGGAGGTCAAGAGGCAAGCCTGGCCGCGACTTGCGTTGGGGGGCTGAGCTAAAGGCCTCGAGCCTGCGGCTGTGTTTGGTTTCGATGGGAACCCCGCTTACTTGAATAACCCACAATGAAAGGTTAATTTTGGATTATGACAGTCGGCAGGCAACAGGGGCACCATCGCCTAGTCGAGGTTAGGTGCCAAAGCGTGGTGCGCCACTAGTGTATATCTGGGTACTTATACCTTTGAGTTCAAGTGAACCAGCAACAAACTCTGTAACAGAGGTATAATTTGCATCCGTTTATGCAGTCTCCGGGGGGCTAGCTCAACGATGGGCCGTTCCACTACATACGAGCCCCCAGACGGTGATCGCAAAGTCGCTTGTGACTGCGTGCAGTGAAATTTGGCCATAGCCGCCTTAGATCAGTGGTAGATCGTTTGTCTTGTAAACAAAAGGTCGCTAGTTCGAGTCTGGCAGGTGGCATTATCTTTTTGGCTTCGGTTCAAGTGTTCAGTCAGTTCTTGTAAGTTGTTGCTCACCCCGCCAACTCTTCGCCCAAGGAAATGCAGCGTGAACATCAAGTTTTGTATCCGGCTGGCGAACGGCCAAGGCCTTCTCGCTTCCTCCGCTTTCTTCTTCACCGGGATGCACCATCTCAGAATCGCTACGGATCTTGTCGACGACCGAACGGCTCTGCCACCATTTCTCGCATCATCCGCTACAGTCCGGAAGGCCATGGAAACGAAGCAGCCATCATCATGTGACTAGGACCAACGCCTTTGCTTGGGAGCCTTGCTGGGGCCACTTCTTTCTTATCAGACGACGCTACGGGCCCATCGGAGCGCAGAGTTCCCCACATTCTCCCGGTATCTTGCACACTTTGACATGTTGACGCGCAGCTGCCCGACACACAAGCTTTCGCTGATCGCGTGGAGACTGCTTCGCTTGGCGATCGGCGCAACCGCCTTGTTGGACGGAGCTCCACCCTCTGCTTCTCACCTACGTATATAAGTATGTCCATGCGAAGCAAAACGAAATTACTCCCTCTTTTCCCCCCCCTCACGCTCAAAATCGAATAGCCGACATGCGCGTGGTGTCATTCTCGACCTTAATCGCTCTCGTCGCTGTCTTGCACTCTGTAGCAGGAACGCCTGTTGATGCCTATAGCCAATCTACAACTCGCTTGTTGCAATTCGGTGACAACCATCGCGAGTGGGTATCAGTCGAGGCGATCACTTTGCTCGAGTCGCTTCGCTCGTTCAATGGAGCCAGGCCTGTGAGCGTTGAAGCGCTGAGGGCCGCAAACCCCGTTCTCTCAGAGCTCTCCGACCTCGCTATCAGCGTCATCCAAAGGCGCGAGGGGTATAGGACCCTCGGGCCTGGCTATCTCGATGTCACCGACGCTTTCACTGAGGGAAAGAGCTATTTAAAAGATGTTTCTGCCGACGCCGTCGTGGTACCTACCTACCCCACCCCCAATCCTTCTGCTCACCCCGAAATCGCCGGCCTACTCGCCAAAGTCAGCGCCGCAGAGCTCAAAAGCATTGTAACCACTCTCTCGACCCAGTTCGCTACACGCTACTACAGATCCGCAAGCGCTCGCCGTCAGTCGTTATCACTGTCTTCCCCCCCTCTAGGTTGGGTTCTTTTTACGTAACCGGGTACTCACGTTGGTATGCTGTTACAGAATCTTCACTTTGGATTCAGAGCACCATGGCTTCGATATTGGGCAATTCTTCCGTGTCGCTAACGGAGAACACCTTCGATCAACCGAACGTTATTGGGAGAATCCCTGGCACGGGGACGTCTCAGGACGTGGTTATCATCGGTGGTCATCTTGATAGCACTTGCGGAAGTTGTGCGGGTCAAACACCAGCTCCTGGAGCAGACGATGGTACGTACTATCTTTGATTATGATCTTCCTCTCCACATCTCGTGAACCTTCAACTGATCTTTCTCTTCTTCGCTAGATGCTTCTGGTGTTGCTGTGGTCCTTGCCGTGCTCCGGATCCTGAAAGAAGCTGGATGGAAGGGCAAATACGCCGTCGAGGGTCACGCCTACGCCGGAGAGGAGGGTGGACTCCTCGGAAGCCAGAAGGTGGCCACCTCGTACAAGAATGCGGGAAAGACCGTTCGAGGCATGCTGCAGCTTGAAATGATCGGTATGCGCTTAACCTCAGGACGCCCGATGCCGTATTGGGATACTAATGTGGTTTACATCGACTGCGCGCACAGGCTGGCAACCAAATACTAGCGGAAACTCGGGAAAATCCAGCACCATCACCGTGCTTTCGGATCCCATCACCCAGATGAGCTCGCATATGACTAGCATCGTTAGTGCTTACGTCCCAACGGCGGAAAGGCGCTCGACAAAATGCGGTGTACGTTCTTAGCTTGCCGCTTATCGCACACTGCCCTCGCCAGCATTCGACTAACATTTGTTTTACTATCTTTTTTTTTCTCAGTATGGCTGCTCGGATCATCAGTCGTTCTACGACGCGGGATACCCCGTCGTCTGCATCGCAGCGTATGGACCAAATGACAGCAACCTCAACCCTAACTAGTAAGTAGCCATCCCTAACTTTCGAATATTGAATAAGGCGTGACACGATTCCTGAAATGATAATAGCCACACCACGAGAGATACCGTTGATAAAATCAATTTCGATCGCGCAGCAGACTTCGTCAAGGCAACCTTGGCGTGGGTTGTCGAGGTCGCCAGCTAAAGGGTCACGGATATGATCAATAGCTATGGCATGGCGATAAAAGGTGTAAGTACTCGCGTCATAAACGTCCCTGCTTGCCCAACCACCATGTTGGAATGCATGTATTACGCAAGCATATATATGTCGAAAAGCAGCACAGCGTCCTTCAGCTGCTCCTACCGCGCCGCTAGATGCAGGCGAGCAGCCAGATGAGGAGGCGAGTTGGCCGCAGGAACATCACTGTGCACCGACGGGGGCGTTATGGAAAGATGTTCCCCTGGGAGCTTCCATTATCAAACAGGTCGCTAGTACGGTGAAGGAGACCCGAGCTTGCGCAATACATGATCATATATGCGTGCACACCTTGACCGTGGCGTGCACAAGTGCAGAGCAAGAAACCGCCTCGATGACATCGAAGTTCATACATAGTCTCTCTTTGATTTCTGCTGCCCTTCATCTTGCGTGAAGTTACATAGCTATAGGCTCTTGTAAGTATCAAAGGTGAATGTACGAAGGCTGTAAAGCGAGAAAATGCATGTTAACGACTTTATCATTATTAGTCACCGCGCACCGTATTCGCTCACATCCACTGCGGCCAGAGTCAACGCTCAGACCGCAACACCACCTCCGCACTGGTAAGTACTTCATGTGAAAAGGCGGCGGGCTTCTATTCTCCAAGTGCGAGACTGAGCCGTGTCAAGAGTGATTGTGTGCATATCGTGCGTGCTTCACACTTGGGATACCGGTAATTGTATTATGACCCCGAGGACTGTGGTATGCGCGCGAGGGTGTGGCACAAGTAGACTCAATTATGCTGATACGCTATCCAGACGATTCTGGGCAAGTACCAGTATGAGTGTTCAGACGTTCACACGGAAGGTGCTCGGTCCTTGCACACGGCGCTGGCGTAAAGTATATATTGCAGTGAGAAAAAACCGTATGTACATGGGAGGAAGTGGTGCAGGGTGAGAGGGAATGACCGACGCGGTTGCGCGCCGGCCGCAAGTGCGTATGCAGGGGAGAAAGATCGAATGTCAATACTGTTGCGAGAGTTGAAGGAGGTAGAAAAAACTCACGGCCAACGCAGTCCCCCGCTGCGCGCGGACGCTCAGCTTCCATGGGCCACAATCCGCATCCAATCGCCGGCCCCCTTGGCCCAATGGACTCGCGAACCGCATCACCAAGTCATGCAAAAGCGAGCCGCGCGCGCAGCAGGCAAAAATACACACGGCTCGCGAAGAGACCGCGGGGAGGACAGGAAGATACAGAAAAAAAGGGGTGCCCGTCACCAGCACCAACCCCTGCGACTCGCGGACGCTACAACTCCCATGGGCCATCATCCACATCCAATCGCCGGCCCTCTTGGCCCAATGGACTCGTGAATGGCATCACCAAGTCATGCAAGAGCGAGCCTCGCGAGCGCGATAAAAGATACACACGCTCTGCGCTGCAAAACCGCGGGGGGAATGAGGTGAAGGTGAAAAAAAGGCGTAAGCGGCGCACTCGATGCCAGAACCGACCCCTGCGACTCGCGGACGCTACAACCCTCATGGGCTACAATCCACATCCACCCGCCGGCCCCCGTGGCCCAGTGGACTCGTGAACCACATGGCACATCATGTCAAAGGGCGAGCCTCGCGGCGCGATCAAATATACACACGGCTCTCGAGGAGACCGCGGGAGGCGTACAAGGTAGAGGCAAAGAGGAAGAGACCGACCACGTCCCCGCGACTCGCGGACGCTACAACTCCCATGGGCCACAATCCGCATCCAATCGCCGGCCCCCTTGGCCCAATGGACTCGCGAACCGCATCACCAAGTCATGCAAGAGCGAGCCTCGCGAGCGCGATAAAAGATACACACGGCGCGCGCAGCGAAACCGCGGGGGAGACTGGTGTGGTGGTGGTGAAGAAGAGAGGCTGGTGGCGAAAACGGACCCTTAAGCCCTGTCTGCTCGGAAGCAGATGGTCACGTGATGCCTCCGCGGGTCGCGACTGATGATCACTGGATGTGCTTACAGGTGACGATGGCAAAATATTCTCGAGGCGTCTCGGCATCATATGTCTCATGTTTCTCCAGCTGCAAGATAAAAAAGTGAGCTCTGCTTTTATCTTTGACAGATCTTATCGGGCGATAGTGATCGCTGCCAACGCTAATCGGTAACCTCGCGCAGGTATCACACGGTGGAGGCGGAACCTCCGCCTCGGTCTTCCGCCACCACAATTGAATAAGTACATAGTGCTTCCGCCTCCACCACTCTTGCCACAACCCGTGAGGGATAATACTTTTCTCTATTCCTGAAGAAGTAACGGACGTTCGACTTGTTGGGGGTGTCGAGTAGCGGCTAGTATTGACTGTAACTGCCCGCACGATGTCCACGATGCCTCTAGGTGAAGTCAGGCAGCTCGAATTTTGAGCATAAAAGGGGAGCGGAATGCGAGTCTGGGAAACATTATCCCCCCAGCTACTTCCACACCTCCCGCAGAGCTACTATCACTCGAGTCAAAAGAATGAGCAACTCTGCAGAACTCCTCAAGGGCAAGAAAGTCGTCGTCATCGGCGGCTCCTCTGGTATACTTCTTATGCTACCAACCTTTAGCTTTGCTATATCCTCATGCTTGTGTTAACGCGGTAGGCATCGGCTTCAGCGTCGCTGCGGCGGCTCTCGCAAACGGCGCCACAGTCGTGATCTCCTCGTCCTCCGACGTCCGCGTCGCGTCCGCTGTATCACGTCTCGGAGGCGACGCCGGCAAGTCTGTATCGGGCTCCGCAGTCGAC